CTTTGTGAAAGTTATTATATACTCCTCGTTTCCTTTTAATTGTCGTTTTAAGACTTTTTAAAATTTTCAAAATTAAAGTCGTTCTGCCTTGTCTTGTCTGCACCTTTTATCATGCCTTCTCCACTTTTATCATCTACTCCTCTTTCCATTCCATTTGTAATTTCTCCTTTTGCCTCTGTCCCTTTAATTTTATCTTTATCTTATTTTCCCCTCTTCTCATCTCTCCTTATCTATCGCCACTTCTTCTTTCTCTAATCTGTCTTCTTCCATCTTTTCTCTCTTTTCTTGTCTTCCTTCTATATGTTCCTCTCTCCACTTATTTGAAGCACCCTATCGTCTTCAATCTCCACCTTCACTTCTCTTCTGAGCCCTAGAAGATCAGCCTTGAACTCGTGAGCTTTGGGGTTTCCTTCCAGTCCACACAGGTGTTAACAAAAGCTGAAGTTTCTTGAGAGGTTGAGAGGAGAGTGACGATACAGATGATGGGAAAGGAAAGTCCTTGAATGAGTTACAGACGACACAGAAAGAGAGGATGTCTATGTGTGTGGCGAGGCGTTTAGCGATGGCGTTGAGGAGAAGTGCAGGGAGAGGGATAGTCTGGTTGAGTGCTGTCCATGGGAGGAAAAAGGAGAAAATGGGCGGTTGTGGCAGTGCGTAGTAGATTTGAGTTTAGAAATTTGTGATGTTTTTTTCTTATCAAAATCATTGTCAAAATCAATTTGTGATGTTGCATTTTGTCAAAATTTGACATCAATTTGTGATGTCAAATTGCATTTGTGGCTCAATTTTTGTGACTTTTGCCTATGTTTTGTTTTAGCCTATGCTGCGGGGCCTTGATGTGAGAAGGGCATGTGGCTGACCCAAGGGTGTGTGCTTTGCAGTAGTTTTGCTGTGGTGAGTCTTGGTTTTTCTGCTAGTTGGGGATTGAAGCTTTTGTTGGATTTCCTTAAGGTGGCTGGAGTTTTGACACTTTTTGCTGCAAAACCTTTATGTACAGACTGTGTAGTTTAATTTGTGCCTAGATGACTTGCTTTTTTTATTGCCCCTTTTTTTGTCCATGTACAGACTATAATGAAAATTCATTAGCTTTTATCCCTTACTTATCCGTTATGAAGGTTTAGCAAATTCATTCAATGTATTTGAAAATATGGAAATGCATATTTGATGTAGAAGTTTCAATGCAACCACAAAACAAACAAAAAGATTTTTCACAGCTTATCATTACAAATGATCTGCAACATAATTTTACAGCTAACCATAAGAAGAATTCGCCAGGCAGATACCAGTTGATTGGATATACAACAATATATTCAAGGAACAATGATCTTCAGGAATTTCCTCTTAGCAAATGCCAACCACCATTTATTTGGAGTGCTATTGGGTCTTATGTAACACTCTACAGTCCCACTTGTTTCCTCTCTTATCTGCTTCAGATAATTCCTAAATACCTCTGCATTTAAGACTCCAAAATTTAAAAACAAATCAACGATCAATGTCTAAGTACACTAAAGCAGCCACTCACATCCCATTGTACAGGGATTGTGCATTAGACTGAAACTGAACATTTGACAGTTTACAGAAATGCCAACTACCATACAATATATGATTGTGAAAAAGTAATCTAGATTGAGATTAATGCAATAGATAAATAAAATGTTGTTTTTTTTTTTATACCTGACGCCTAGTAGAAAGAAACTATTTTCCAATGTTATAAACTTGAACAACTTTTATTAAGAACTCAGACTGTATGCCATATGATGATGCAATAGGTCATGCCAAAAATAAAATCGATCATTCAAGGGGAATATTCCACATTAGATTCAGACAATCTATTCAAAAGACCTGAAACATTTGAAAATATAAAGTATGCCAGATTTCAATTTCAAGATATAAATTTTTAAAATTCATCCAAAACCATCATCCTCTCCCGTTTTTCTGATTGGGCATTAAATCACCATCATTCTCACCTTCTAGTCCTTGCTCCTTGATTTTATTCTTAGGTTTCTTCTTGGAGCGGTTGTTCTTCATAGGACCTGTAGAAAGATTAGTTTGTATATGGTTGTTTACTTCATATCTAAACATCATCGATCTCAGTTTAAGGTAAAGCTAGTTTCTATATGTGCATCTTTGGTAGGCAGAGTGACACAAGAAAGTGTAGTGTACAGCTTTGGCACCTTGTTATATATTATCATAATAAAAGCTATACTCACAAAATAGAACAAGTTCTTTCTGTATGTTAGAGTAGAATTTTGTTATAGCCAAAAAAAAAAAAAAAAATCAAAATGAAACACAAACTACTCCTAAAAGACAATATTTATCAGAACCCATATGAACATCATGAACAAAACCAAAAATAGTCTTCAATACTAGATAGGTCAATTGTAACACTTATTGACATTGAGCAATTGCTTCTCCATTAACGCGGGGTAACATCTAACTGCTAGGAAGGCATTTTGTCTCTCCAAACTATGTTTTTATGTGTGGAACCTTATATTTGTTCGAACCTCTGGCTTTCAAAATTGAAATCATACATGGATGTAAAGTAAAAACGTATGATTCAATTTTGTGGCAAGTATTCATCAAATGACTTCTGAACAGCCTCTATGAGCACATCTATAGAGTTGGGTGCCTGTTGGTATTGTAGTCCCTGTATGTCGCATTAAAAAAACCAAGGTCTAGAACATTATATCTGGAGAATTCGGTGGTTGACGGATCAAAGTATGGCGAAGCCATCCTTAGTAGCATTACTTTGAAAATACTCATCATCCAAACCAATATGAGGTTTCGCATTGTCTTGTTGGATAAATATTGACTTCCTGCATCAATTCTGGCACTTACTCGGATACGAAGCGCAAGAGTTTCTCAATTATGTAAGATCGATAAATTTCCTTATTGATAGAATTGATTGTTTAGTCTCCATGGTTCCGGCAGAACAATTTTTACTACTCCTCCTTGCAAGTTCTTTATTACGAAAGGAAATATCCCGATTTTTCCAGAAAATAATTCATTCCCTGATTCATCAAACCTTGGGCGTGTCACTGCAGTCAGAAACATGACTTAGTAATAAAAGTCTTACTTACATGTGCGTAAAGGCTCGTCTCTGTCAGGCAGGAGTTAATCTATTCTTTGACGGCTTTGTCATGTAGAACCACTCCTCATCAACATGAATAATATTTTCATGGTTACAAACCCCAAACAACTGGGGTTGTTGCAATGTTCAACATCGATAAACAAAAGCGTATTCTAGCTTTCATGTTTTCCACATTCAATAAAGAGTTTTATGCATTTGAATGACAACGTATGGAGCCCTTTTAATCGCCTAAACAATGTGTCACTGACAAATTTGTGACAGCAGATAAAGACCTCAGTGACGTCCTTCTTCGCAAAGAATATTTCAAAATTGACTGACGTCAATTTCCAGACGCTTACGCCACAATTGAGTGTCTTTGCTAGATACATTAGTGTTAGAATCCAAAACTTCATTTTCTTTCCCGTTGCCAAATGTGTTGGACTGTACGCATACTAACTGAAAATAATTGAGCCACACCAGATGTAGTGTTTTCTTCAATTGTCCATTAACACTTTGCTTCAATAGAGATTCAAAAATTGCTTGTCTTGTTCATTTGTAAGGTTTTTTCGACTCACATGTGTATTAACTTTTTCGGTTATGTCATCAACTTCATTCTTAGCTTCTATGTTGGAAGAACATTTAATCAATTTCCCCAAGTACACCTCTATTATTACATTGTTGGCCATGATGATTGACCGAACAGAATTAAAGAGAACAACAACGAGTGAGGGACGAAAAAAATTAAAGAACTGAAGCAGCGTAAAAGAAAAGAAACAGATGAAGTTGGTGGGAGAAACAAATGAATAAGACAAAATTGTTAAAATGTTATTTAAATAAGCGGAAAGTTTCCCACTTTCAAAGTCTCTCCCACCTGCAAAATTAGGAGAAAAAATGGTGGAGAGAGGAATTTTGTTTTTATTAAAAATTGTGCCCACAACTAAAACGTCAATTAAAAGAAAACGGAGGAAGTATTTGGTGAATATTCAAAAATAAATAATATTTAAAAATATAAAATAAATTAAATTATTAATATTTAAAAATTCACATTATAAAAATGGCGAAACCTGGTTACAAGAAGTCGTCGGCCCTTGGGCTTTACTTGTCATAATCGTGGACAACCGGATTGGTTGCTTTTCATGAGGTCGGCAGGTTAGGCCTGGCCAAGGGGTACCCATCCCAGCGCCCATTGCATCACTAATTAAAGTGAGGAGGTTGTCATAATTATTTAATTAAAAAACATATTTTTTAAAATATTATATGTATTTATTTATTTTCCTGCTCGTACTAGATTGGCGTGCGTGAACCTTTCAATATCATATTTGGGCTTCAAATCCTCTTTAACATTTAGCCCCAAAACTGCTACCATACCCGCCGACAACCGGGCGTGTAAACCCGCCGATCACCCCCCTACACTGAACCTCAACATAAATTTGGCAAATGACAGTGACGCGCAAGTCTATGGACTGACGTTATTCCTTAAAATCGCACACTGAAAAGTCCCCGCCACAGCTAAACCCCTTAGCCAAAATTATGTCCACGTCACGAGATACACTCTGTGTTCGTCTAATTGGACCGTGTGACAAGCGGCATAGAAACACGTGAGTCCAACACCTTATATCTGCGCTATGATGCTTCTGGAGCAGGCTCTTTAGTGCACCCACGCTTCTCGCAAATCAATTGCGATTCACGAATGTCTCTGCCACCGTACACCTGTAAGATAAGGAACTGTAAGAGGAGAGAAAGTTTCTAGAGAGAGAAACTGGAGAGAAGATCTGATCGAAGCGAAAGGTAAAAGGCTCGAAACCCTAAGTTGTCGTCGTTGTCTTTTTTTCATGCGCAGTAGTGCTTTTAGGTTTATGAAATACTAGATCTTGTGGTTGCGGAGAGAAGCCCTAATTTTTGTTGCGTTTGTCAGTCGGATTAGTTTTTTTTTTTTTTTTTATTGGTTGGTTTTGAATTGATTGAGGGATTTGCGTATAGTAATTAGGGTTTTGCTGAGTAAATAGATGTATGTATGGCTTCGGGGCCAATAGTTGGAGGAACTGATGGGGCTAATAGAGAGAAGCAGAGATATTCGGAAAGCAAGGTTTATACAAGAAAAGCTTATAAAGGTCCTAAGAATCAGAACAACAACACCGCCGCTAACAACAACAACAAAAGTGCCCCGACAACAACAGCAACAACAACCACCACCCCGGCAGTAACCACTACAACAACAACCGTCACGGGAACAACCACAACTGTCCCGACAACAATAACCACACCCACAGCCCCTCCGACAGCAGCTACCAAAACATTAACCACCCCGACAACAGCTACCACCACCGCCCTTGCAACAACAACCACCACCGCCACCACTACCGTCACAACAGATATTACCCCCAATGATGACACCAACCAAAACAAGGAGAGCAAGAATATCAGCAACAACAACGACGAGAGCAACAACGAAGAGAACAACAACAACGACAACAACAAAGGGGAGAACAACGACAACGCCAAGAGCTCAATTCAAGAGGCGCCCACCCAAACCCTAGCGGTAGAAGATACGAATTCGGCCCAGCAACCGTTAATTTCTCGTTTAGATGCTGTCTCGGATGACTCTTCTAGTCTTAATAGGCAACAGATTGTGGCCTCTACCACGAGAGTGCAGGCGCCTTTGGGGAATGGTGGGGTGAAGTCGGGCTTGGAGAATAAAGTTAAGATTAATTTGGGTTCAAGGTCGAAGCAGGAGATGCGTCAAATTAGGAGGAAGCTGGAAGGTGAGCTTGATACGGTGAGGAGCTTGGTGAAGAGGATTGAGGCAAAAGAGGGGCAAATTAGTGGTGGGTTTAGTAATTCGCTTGTGCCAGTGGTAGTGAGTGATGGAGTTGATAATGGAGTGAAGAGGGTTCATTCAGAGGTTGCTTCTGTGGGAGTCCCAGTTCCTCATAGGGCTATCAGTATTAGTAGGCAGTCTAGGCCTTTGAATCAGTTGAGTATATCAACGTTGGAGAATGGTCAAGCACTGAGTGAACATGTGGAGAAAGAGAAGAGGACCCCGAAAGCCAATCAATTTTATAGAAATTCAGAGTTTTTACTTGCTAAAGATAAGTTCCCACCAGCTGAGAGTAACAAGAAGTCCAAATTGAATGGGAAGAAGCAGGCAGGAGGGGAATTGGGACATGGGTTTGGACCGGGAAGTAAGGTTTTCAAGAATTGTAGCAATTTGCTTGAGAAATTGATGAAGCACAAGCATGGTTGGGTGTTTAATGCTCCTGTTGATGCTAGGGCTCTTGGTTTGCACGATTATTTTGCCATTATCAAGCATCCAATGGATCTGGGAACTGTGAAATCAAGACTGAACAAGAATTGGTACAAGTCTCCAAAAGAATTTGCAGAGGATGTTAGACTTACCTTTCATAATGCTATGACATATAACCCAGAAGGGCAAGATGTTCATGTAATGGCAGAACAATTATTGAAGATATTCGAGGACAAGTGGGAGGTTATAGAGTCAGAATATAATCGTGAGATGAGGATTGGTGCAGACTATGAAATGACTTTTCATACACCCACATCAAGAAAGGCTCCTCCACTGCCACCTCCTCTTGATATGAGGAGGATTTTGGATAGATCAGAATCGATGACATACCCTATCAATCCAAAAACAAAACCCATTAGTCTTACTCCGTCGAGTAGGACCCCTGCTCCTAAGAAGCCCAAGGCAAAGGACCCACATAAAAGGGACATGACATATGAGGAGAAGCAGAAGCTTAGTACCAACCTGCAGAGTTTACCATCGGAGAAGCTGGACAATATAGTACAGATTATAAAGAAGAGGAATTCTTCACTCTTCCAACATGATGATGAAATTGAAGTAGACATTGATAGTGTTGATGCTGAGACTCTGTGGGAGCTTGATAGGTTTGTTACCAACTACAAGAAAAGTTTGAGCAAGAACAAGAGAAAGGCCGAGCTTGCAATTCAGGCCAGAGCAGAAGCTCAACAGATTGTCCAGCAACAGGTAAAGCCTTGAATTGTACCCTTGCTCTCTGTTCCTCTTCAAAGAGGGTCAAGTTGCTAAATGCTTTCTATTGTCCTTTATTTCCAGGCCCCAGTCCAAGTTGTGGCAGAGGTGCCAAAAGTAATCAGAACAGGTAATGGTCTTATGTTACAAGTATTGGTGGAATTTTGGGTAGTCATTCCTTATTGATTGGTATAGATTTGATGATTGACTTTTTCTGCTGTTGGTAGGTGAAAGGAATGCCTCTTCTTCATCACCAGCTCAGGTGGAAAAACAAGGTGATAATGGGAGTAGGTCAAGTAGTTCAAGTAGCTCTAGCAGTGATTCTGGATCTTCTTCAAGTGGTACTGTGATGTATCTGTAACTATGTTGAAAATCCATAGTAGTAGTAGTTCAATGCTTTGTTGAAATGTTTTGCCCCATTTATCTCCCTGATTTTATTCTTATTTCTTTTTGCAGATTCTGATAGTGAAACATCCTCATCTGGATCTGATGGCGGGAATTCACCCAGGACATGACATATCTTGTCTAGGTAAGGTCATACTACTTGTATGTTATTTGGTAGTTTGAGCTCTCTTATCTCTTGACTAATGCTAATTTTATGTTTGGGTTTGAGTATCTTCTTTTTATACATGTATCCCTGTTTTGAGATTCTGAGTTCTAATAAAATATGGCTTTTTAAAATTTATTTGCTGTTATGGTCTTCAGTGATAACTTCTTCTATGACAACATAGAGTTACAGATAGCCTAATTTCGCTTTTTGCGTAGTTGGTTGATTGTAGCAATTGATGGTAATGATGGAGAATTTCATGGACGCAGACATTGGACTATTGTGATGTAGACAAGCCTGTTATTATTTAGGTTGGGGTATATTTGTACTTTTTCCCTCAAGCACATGTTATTTATTGTCGTTGGGGTGTGTTGATCTTTGGAGCTGTTGGTTTCAATTATGGCTAATTTGCCATGCTAGCCAAAGATCTGATAACTGTGCTCTTTAAGTGGGAAAAGGGAAAGTTGGGTTAGATTCAAGTAGAGTGGATTTGCATTTCTGTGAAACTGCTGCACAATCTATATAGACGATGCTATACTTTGGCACGAAGACGTGGAATACCTTGTTGGTCTTGAGAGAGGGAGGCAGGGTGTTAGGATGGAAGGCACTTGGGTGTCCTGTTAATTGTAAAGTTCTCAAACCTGTGATTCTAGAAGGTATAATGGGTATTTGTTTTCTCTAGCAAGCAAGCATGACCTGTGAAGAAGCAAATATAAAGTTATTTCTATATTTTGGAATTTTGATGAGGATGGAGTTTTATATTTTTGGGTGGTTTATACCTTGACTGAGGATAGACCTGATGTAACTTTTGGGGTTGTATAGGGAACTTTTTGAAATGGTTTCTATTTTCTCAATGGAGATGTTATACAGACATATACAACAACATATTTCATCGTGTCACCCGCCTCATGATATTTGTTTTTCGTCCAGTTGATTTTAGTGATGTTTTCTATCAACTTCTAGCACTGAAATTTGATAAATGTTTTTGTTTTTAAGTTGTCAACTACATCGTTGCTTGCAATTTATGCCTATGGAAGGTTAGAGAAAATTACAACACATGGAATTGCAAACAATTAATGACATGCAAACTCCACTTTTCCTTTTATTGTTTTTGGTCAATGTCACAATAGATTATTAATCTAAATCAAGTTTACTTGTCATTGTGTTTTGCTTTAATGTTTTTGCTAGCTTTGCATGGACCATTTATATATTTCATGGAATTAGATATCATAAGGTTCTCTTTAAATGCTTTTTCAAGGGTTCGAAAATCCTGAAGTTGGTACCTGCCTTATTCGCTAATGTAGTAGTGGATTCTTGAATGCAAGAAAACGAGTCCATGTTAAAAGTTAGAATTACCATCTTGAGATTTTTTGTTTTCCTTGTATAAAAACAATCTCTTGTTCTTATACCTTCTGGCATCTTGAATTTTCTTAGTTGCCGCTGGATTGTTTGTGTGATATTACGGCCACGTGTTGGCAAACAATTTTCCTTAGTTGTGTCACATTCATCTGATTCTGCTTTTGGCCTTGCCTATAATATGTGATCCCAGCACAAGAAGGCTGGGTGAAAATTAGTTTTGTATTTCTTGTTAACTCCATAAATTACTGAATATTTATATAATAAATTTCTAATTATTTATTAATTTTGCATGGTGCTTACTAGCTTTTTTTTTTTGGTTGTGTAAGTTTCATATTTTTCTTCTTTATCCATTTTCCTTTTCTTCTAGGTCTTCTGAGTTTTACTTTGATATCTGTTTGAAGCCTCACTTGTGAAGTTCTGTTAAGATATAAAATATATGTTTGTCTCTCATGTGTTTCTTGGACTCCTCATCAATAATGTCTATTCTTTTACTTTCTGCATTCTGCACTTGTGAAGTTCTGTTAAGATATAAAATATATTGTTTGTCTCTCATGTGTTTCTTGGACTCCTCATCAATAATGTCTTTTCTTTTACTTTCTGCATTCTGCAGTTGACTAGTATTTTTTTCCGTGATCGACTATCTCAACTTTCTTACTAGATGATTTGGACACCATTTATATTTGCTTTGACTCGTAATTTTATTGAATGTGACAGATTCTGGAGTTTAGGGTAGATGATTACTATTTGCTGGGCTGAAGGTGGTGATTAGAATCAGAATCTGCGTATTGGTGTACAGTGGAAAAGCTCGCAAGGCCAGCAACCATGGCTGTATCTTGATGTCGTCAGAGCTAGGGCTTTTAGTATGTAGGGTGGCTTATCTGTCTTGTCCGAAATTTGTATAATATCTTATCCAGTAGAATATTGTAATGATTAGAAGTAGTTGGTTTGTTTGCGTAGCTTGTGTACATTGCTAACTACCGCCACTCATCTTAGTTTCTTCTGCCGATTCAGAATTCTTTGGTGTTATACAAAAATAGTCTGTAATTCAAGTTAATGGAGTTATGATGGCTTCATATGAAAATCATTTTTGTTCATGGTTGTTTGGAACTTTTGATTTTGGTTTGGACAGGTTTGTTCCGAGGATGTGCATGTGGACTGGAGGCACCTATTATATGATTCAGCCCACGCGAGTTTGTTTTGTCGAATGCTGTATACTATATAGTACTTATTTTATTTGTATTATTTACAGGCAAGAATCAGCGCTACGGTTGGAAACAATTTACTTTTATCCAAGGTTATCTGTATAATTATAAGAAATTTACTTACTAGGTATTAAGTTTATTTGTAATTCGTGGCAAGCTCAGTGTCTGCTTTCTTACTCATCCAGTGGTGTGAAAATTGCTAGCAAATCAAAGGGTGAATGCAGACAAATACATGGATCATTGTTGTCAAGTCGCCATTGTGATGAAGGGTTTATGAGTAATTGTATTAGTATCCAAGATTTATCTTAAAATTGTTAGGGGGCAAATGATCAAAGAATAAAGTTAGGGACATCAAAAAACCTGCACCGAAATTGTGTACCGGCCTACGTGTAACACATCTTTGATTTTTTTAACAATTTTTTTTCTAGTGAACGGTCGTCCATCAAATTTGAACAGTCGTTCACTCACATGGACGCCTGTCCATATTATATGGACGGGCGTCTATATATAAGGGATAGGCGTTCCCATTTAAAGGACGTCCGTCCATAAATAAAATACAATAAAATTTTTTTATAAACATTTGTTATGGACGGGAAAAATCTTTGGGGACGGCCGTCCATAAATTTTGGACGGTCGTCCCTTAGGTTTGGACGGGCGTCCATACTTTAAAACAAAAAATATATATATTCTAAACATGGATAATGCTTCTTCTTCTTCCTTTCGGAAATGTTCCATTTTCTTTCTCTTGGAATAACGGCGCCATGCAGCTTGGATGAAGCATGCGGCCCATGTCCCTCCACTGTTATGAGTAGAACCTGAAGGTGTGCTGAACCTGTCTACCGTGAAGGCGCCTGAATTGAGTGGCCGCAAATTTTAACTCTTCAGTGACAGAATAAAAGCCTGAACCTCTCTCATAGCCTTCATCGTCCAGGTAGAGGATGGAAGGTTAATGCTAGATTTGGGTTCCAATGCCCAGGTCAAGAGCTCCTCGCCACAAAAGTCCCTTCTGGAAAAGTAAATTGTTTTGATAGTTAGTTTTTGTTTTGAAATCCATTGTTTATCTGTATGTTCTTTTTAATTGTTTTTTGTGAATGTGTAGACTTCTCAGTGTCATGTTTGCTTTAGTTGAGTTATTGGCATTGGTTTTATGGTTTAGTTTGTAGCGTGTAAAGAGGGATCATGGTTATCTGGAAAAGTAAATTAATAGTGGCTGGAGAGGCGATCAGTTTTGGCTTGGCGAAGAAGAAGAAGAAGAAGAAGAGCGAAGAAGGTGTTTTTTTTTTTTTTAAAGTATAGACGGGCGTCCAAACATAAGGGACGACCGTCCAAAATTTATGGACGGCCGTTCCCAAAGATTTTTTTTTTTTTTCATATTTTGATTAAGGACGGACGTCCCTTATTTGCGGACGCCCGTCCAAAAGTAATGGACGACCGTCCATAACAGATGGACGGCCGTCCCAAATGTTTATAAATTTTTTTTATTGTATTTTATTTATGGACGGGCGTCCTTTAAATGGGGACGCCCGTCCCTTGTATATGGACGCCCGTCCATATAATATGGACGGGCGTCCATGTGAATGAACGGCCGTCCAAATTTGATGGACAGCCATTCACTAGAAAAAAATTGTTAAAAAAATCAGAGGCGTGTTACACGTAGGCCGATACACAATTTCGGTATAGGTTTTTCAGTGTCCCTAGCTTTATTGATGATCAAAAGGCCATATTGGTTTTGAATTTAACTAAAAGGCTATCTAGTTTTTTAGTCTTTATTAAATGGTCTTATTTTTTATTAAGACAAACTAATAACAATTAAACACTAATTATGACTTAATTAGGATTAATGAAGTATTGTGTAATCTTTTAAAAATTATAATATGTCATCAAAAACCTAAAATTTTTGCAAACAAACCCAAACATAACATCTTCTTCTTCTTCCTCCCGCCATTAATGCATTCCTCACCTGGTTGCTGTTTATTCTAAGCTTTGTGTACATTTTCTTCTTCCTCTTTCTTGTATATCTTCCTCTTCTTGCCATTTACACTATCTTCTTCCTCCGCCATTAACATCTTCTCCTCCACAGATCCTCCTCCTCCTCCTCCTCTTGACATTTGGTCCAAGTATGTGTATTTCCCTTTTCCCTTTTATATTTCGATTTACAAAGATTTAATAATGGATTGGATTTGGGTTATGATTTTGATTTAGTTGTTTAGGTTTGGGTTGTGTTTGATGTAATGTAAGTTGAAAGGAGTGAAATTTGTTGAATATTTTCTTGCATTGCGGGTAACTGGGGGTGGTAGCACCGATTGTAGGTAGAGATGACTGAAAATGTGTTCTGGATATGATGGATCACCTAAGCGATCTGGTATGTTTGGTATAATGCAGCAGATCGTAGATTGCTTAAGCGAGCATATATATGATAGAAGATCGCTTAAGCGATATGCTATAAGTTTGGTATATGGCAGTAGATCGCTTAAGCGATCTGCTAGAAGTTTGGTGTATGGCAGCAGATCGCTTAAACGATCAGGTAAATGGCAGAAGATCGCTTAAGCGATCAGGCTTATTTATACCAGATCGCTTAAACGATCCATTATATTGCTTAAGTGATCCAGTAAGCGATATACCATATCACTTAAGCGATACACCAGATCGCTCAAACGACTCTGCAAATGCTTTTTAAAATCTTTCAACCCTTAATACATCAGTTAATAATATTTTTTTCTTGCAGTATAGGTACTTGGCTATTATTAGACATGGGACAAGTTGTTTTGGGTGTTAAATATTTTGGTGAGTGGGTGGAGGAACAAAGTTGCTGGAAATTGATTGGAAAGAGCAAAGAAGTTATACCAATTGCTGTGAGCACAGAGGTGAGTTTTGATGAGTTGATTGATGAAATAATTAGAAGAGGTGATTTGAGTTGCTCACGTAGTGATATAGTTGTGAAGTTTGCTTTAAGCAGAGTTCCTGAACATTATAAGGTACCTCTTGCTATATTAAAGTCGGATGAAAGTGTGAAGTTATATATGATTGATGTGGGCGATAATGGTTCGAGGCCGATTTTAAGGGTTTCTTTTGTAGATAAACCATTGGAAGTTGGTTCCAAGGAAGGGGATAGCAAGGAAGTTGGCAGAGAGAATGTCGATTTTAATTTGAACTACGAGAGCATTGATTTCTTAGTTGAAAAATCAAGAGTATGCAGTGATTTGGGTGGTGAGGAGGACACTATAGAAGAGGTTAGTCATGTGCGACAAAATGAAAATGTTGAGGAGGAGGATCCCGTACATGTTCCGGCAGATGTAGAGATTCCTTTAAATACAGATTATGAGGAAGAGAACATTATGGTCCTTTATGCAGGTTTAGAGGTGGCAATTGCAGGTAGTGATGAATCAGCTCATTTTTTTATTGATGGATCGGACTTGCTCATAGAGTATTTATTTGACAACAAAGAGGAAGTGGTGAGGAAGCTAAAACTTGTTGCCATGAGAGATAATTTTGAGTTCATCACCAAAAAGTCTAATTCATCGGTATTGACGGTTGCATGTCGTGATTGAAAGTGCAAGTGGCGGGTTTATTGAAGAAGGTTGGCAGAGTCTGAAAAATTTATTATTAGCACATATACCCGTGAGCACACATGTGGTTTGAGACGTATTTCAGGTGAGCATCAACAAGTCTACTGATGTTATTGGACAATTTGTCAAAAGTCAGTTTGTTGAAGGGAAATGTCCATCTCCTAAGGACATTCAGAAACTTGTGCGCACATATTTGGGATACGCTGTTAGTTACTGGAAATGCTGGAAAGGGAGACAACATGTATAAGATTTAGTGAGGGGCACGCCGGAGCATGAGTACGCAGTATTAGAAGCATACCATTATATGCTTGAGTTGACAAACCAAGGAGGCAAGACGGCTTTGAAGTGGGACAAGAATATGAGGTTTAAATATTTTTTTGTTGCTTATGGTGCTATTATAAGGGGTTTTGTAAACATGAGAAAGGTGTTGGCTGTTGATGGTTGCTTTTTGACGAGAAAGTATGGAGGTACATTGTTGGTGGCCACTGCACAGGACAACGAGGATCACACATATCTTGTGGTATGGTGTGTGGTTGACTCTGAGAATGACAAGTCATGGACTTGGTTTTTTCAGCAATTACGTACGATAATGCCTGACAGTGATGAGTTGTGCATAATATCCGATAGGCACAACTCTATAAAGAAGGGGATTGCCACTATTTACCCTCAAGCACATCACAGATTCTGTATGAGGCACCTTGGTGAGAATATAAAATAAAAGTTTAAGTGTGCTGGCCTCCTTCAGACATACTACATGACTGCAAAAACTTATCGACTTGATGAGTTCGAGGAGCATGCACTGTTGGCAAATCTGAATCAAGGATGATAGAATTGCTAAGTATCTTGAGTATGATGTTGGTTTCGAGCGATGAAGTAGAGCTTGCTTTCCTGGAAGAAGGTTTGATGTCATAACCATGAACATAGTCGAGTCCATAAATTTGAAGTTGTTAATAGAAAGAGAGTTTCCAATAGTTGCATTTTTTGATGCAATCTAGAGGACATTGTCACGGTGGTTCCATGAACGTCGTATGAAGTCAGATAATTTTACCATAACCCTTATTCCATCAGCAGAAAAATTATTGCGAGAACGTATGGAACTGTCAAATGCACTGTTTGCCTATCCTCTTAATGCTCAAGAGTTCACCGTGCACAGCTACGATTTGGATGCCCTAATTAACCTTCTTAGTAAAACTTGCAACTTTAAAGTGCTTGACATTCAACGTTTACCTTGTCCTCATGCACTAGCAGCATTGAAACACCAACAGAAGCTGGATTTTGGTTCAAGAATTTACATGGAACTTTGCTCCCCTCTC